TTTTTTTTTTGTTTTTTTAAAGATCAATATTGTTATACCACAAATACTCGAACCGCTGGACCGCTCCTCTGGAATCGGGTTGCGTCTCCTTGGTCGTCGGTACCTGCAAAGCACGCCGGAGGTGGTCCCGGCGCGAACACTCCGACGCTCAAGTCAGTGATGGTCTTGAGAGAAAACGGCAGAGTAACGAGATAGTTCGTGAATGTGTGTTGTGTAAAATGAATGAACCTGCTCCCTTTTATAGAAGAAAATTGGAGAGTCCCAGTGGGATAAGAAGTCTTTCTTGAGTGAACTACTTAATTAGGTCAAGAACATCTCAAATTGCAAGAGTCCTTGTCGCCACCAACTCCTTCGTAACTTGATCCTGAAGCCATCTTCAGGTTCTAGCCCCTTCGACGGCATACGAGGGCGCCGAACACACGAGGGCCGCCAAGCGTACGAGGGCCGCCGGGCACCTCCCTTGGCCGAGCACTCTCCTACGCCGAACATTCACCCCACGCCGAGCACTCATCATACCGGGCAATGCCGCGCCAGACACTTCATCCCGACCACCTCTAATGCCGAGCACCTGAGGGGCGCCGAACACCGTGCGACGCCGAGCACTCCCAATCGCCGACTACCATAATACTTAGCCGGTCCCCTTCATATTGATAATGATGACCGAATCACAACCGGCTCCTCACGAGCCACTACTAACGACCATATCAAATATAACACCAATATTTAACATAGAGTAAAAAGATTTTCACAATACACTTGTGGCAAAAACTTGTAAAACTAAATAAATATATTATAAATTAATTTATGATACTTTTCAAACACACTCAATTGTCATTTCTTTATTTCTTTTAAAGTGTTATTAAGTTTTTTTTTTTTCCTAAATAACAATATAACTACGAAAAAGATTTTCACAATACACTTATGGCAACCCTTCAATCTAATAATTACGAAATCACATACAAAAGTTGGGGAAACAAATCAAAAAAAAAAAAAAAGGTCATAAAAAACCATTTCAAAATACAATACCATCTATGTTCCATAAAACTAGTTGATAGCTTATCAGTAATTTTCGAACTTATAGCTTATATCTTATGACTTATAGTTGAAAATTTAGCTTATATGATAAAGTGTTTGGTAAAATTAACCTATAAGTTAGATGAAATAAAAAATTAATTAATTAATTTTAAAAAATGGCCTAAAGAAACTTATCAATCAAGTTCCAATTTTTTAAAAAAACTCGTCCAACCAAACGAGAGTTATTATTTGCCGACTCTGAAAAGCTCCTCTGCCTTCCTTAGCCCCCATTCCTCAAACCAACAGCTCCTCCCCAAATCAAACGCGTTGCGAATAATAATAATAATAGTCGTTTCCTGTACCTATTTATACAGCTTTCTTTCTACTAATTCGTACGAACATCTGTATTTATACAGCCTAAACCTACATTTCATTTCTTAATTTATTTTCTTGTTTTCGGACACGGAGTTATTACATTTGCACAGCGTTTTTTGTTTGTTCCGAAAAATGGGGGAGATTAGGTTGAGGGTTTTGTGTTTGGTCTGTGTGTGGGTTCTCTTTCTGGGTTCGGTCGTCGTGTGTTCATCGGACCGGCGCGTGCGCAGGAACGCGTATGCGACGATGATGTATGTGGGGACTCCGAGGGACTACGAGTTCTACACTGCCACGCGCGTGATGCTCAGATCCCTTGGGGCGCTTGGGGTTGACGCCGATCGTGTCGTCATTGCCTCCATGGATGTGCCCCAGCATTGGATTCAAGCTCTGTGAGTTCATCATCTCTTTCTTTTTCATTATTGTTATTAATTATTATTATTATTATTATTATTATTATTATTATTATTTATTATTATTTTTTTTTGGGTAATTAAAATGGGATTTTACTTTTTACAGTTTTTGGCTAGTGATGTTTTGGGCATTTTGTTTTTAATTTCAATAGTGAGAAAAAAAGGGGGCGTTTCTTGATTGTTTTCATTTTTTCAACACCAATTAGCCATTATGAAATGTTTCACATGATATGTGTATGAACTGAATGATATATATTACGGAACTATTCTGTCGGAGTTTGTAATCGTTAGATTAACTATCCCACACGTGTTACATGATAATCTAACAGTTACAAATCCCGACGGAATGGTTAACATTTATCGTTGTTACAATCACAAAAACTATTGTCTAGTTTGCAAATTATAGTATGATGATGATTGATAATTATTCAATGAGTAAATTTGGCAGAGAATTGTGTAGTGAATCACTAGTGATATTGGTTTTGTAGTTTCAGAACTGTGTTGGGAAAATGTGAGTAAGATGCGAGTGAAGCTGTGCTAAAATTAAGTGGATTGGATGGGCTGTTTATTTTATTTTTTAATAATATATTTTTATTAAAAATATTGTATGATTATAGACACAGCATTATTATAATTCAATAAAATAAATAATTTATCATATATTTATTGAAACTATAGTTTAACTTTATCACATGTGGGGTTATTAACGGATTTGAGATTAGTCAAGTTATTTAGATAGCAAAAGACTTTTTATTTTTTAATTACACTTTTTTTTATTCTTTTTTGGTCAAACAATACTACCAAGTCAATAATCAATTACTTAAGACCGCGTCACACATAAATATCTCATTTAATGATGCCACCTATTTGCTTTGCCGGTCAACACAAGGCCAAGTGTCATCAATTTTCAAGAATTTTCTAGCAAGTTTTTTTTTTTAATTTTTTTTTTTAATTTTTTTTATTATTATTTAATTCATGTGAATTTTCTTGTTTTCTCATGATTGGACCAGCTCAACTTTTGGTAATTATTATTATTATTATTATTATTATTATTATTATTATTATTATTTTTATATTCTTTATAAAAAGATATCAAGAAAACTATGATACACGTTTTGATCTCAATTTCTTGGAAACTTCAGAAAAAAAGGTGTTTGTGAAAAGGATATATTTACAAATTACAAGAATTTTCCAAGTTTATTTATTAGGCTGAAAATTTTGGGGGCACATGATGTTGCTTAGTTTAGCAATAACAATACGACATTTCATAGTATAAGTATATAGTATATTTTTGTGATCGCGTAACTGTCTAACCGTTAGACATCCTTGAAGTTATTTTTTTCAATAATAATTATATGAGACTTCCTTTCGTGTTTTAAGTAGTGTGTATGTTGATAAGATGCTCCTCCTTGGGAGCTATTTGCTTCTTGGTTGAGGTCTTGAACTATGATTTAAGATACTCAACCAGGGGCATTCAAATATCTACCACATTTGACAAAAACAGAACAAAATAACTGCAGCAACACGGACCAAGACCGACCAATGTTCGCCTTCATTTTCTCGTCATCTGCAACTTGGTGATAATATATACGAGTTATTTTCGAAAGAGGCTTAAAAAAGTTGAGATGCTCCCATTTTAAGCTAAAATGTTGCATGAAGTTGTTTGCATCTGATACTTCCAACATATGTGCACTTTTAGTATATGTTGTCACTTATCTTGATGCATGAACTTGAAAATACACATCTTGACGACTTATTGGAATTTTTTTTTTTCGGCATGGAAATGCTGCTTGAATGAGATATCAGAGTTTTTATGATCGTTTTAATGGAAAATCTACTTGTTCTTGGATATAATAATTTCTTCAATATATTCTAGTAACTGCGCAGTAAAAAATATACGTAAATCTAGCAAATGTGCCGGTAAGAGAAACAAAGACTACTTTAGAAAGCCATGCCATAATACTTTTGCCTTTTCTTTTCCCCCCTTTTTTAGTGGAAGAATAAATTTTTTATGTGGCTCTAAGCAAACAGATATTCATGATGTGTGTGTTTGTATCCAGGGAAGAAGAAGATGGGGCAAAGGTGGTGAGAGTGGAGAATATAAAAAATCCGTACAGAAGCCAATCCGAATTTAACTGGCGATTTAAGCTGACTTTGAACAAACTATACGCTTGGAAGCTCGTGGACTATGATCGAGTTGTCATGCTCGATGCGGACAACCTCTTCCTTCAGAAAACGGACGAACTTTTTCAATGTGGACAATTTTGTGCTGTCTTCATCAACCCTTGCATTTTCCACACGGGTCTTTTTGTATTGCAGGTTTGCATGACTGAAAAAAATCGCTCTAAAATATAATAATTTCATCGGTACCCTCCATTTATATGTATATATATTCGCAACTTACACCTTGATAATACGTATAATCAAATTGCACAGCCATCTTTGGAGGTGTTCAATGATATGATGCACGAGTTAGAGATAGGGAGAAGTAACCCGGATGGCGCGGACCAAGGTTTTCTAGGAAGCTATTTTCCCGATTTGCTCGATCGACCGATGTTTCATCCTCCACTGAACGGGACAAAGCTTGACGGGTCCTACAGACTTCCCCTCGGCTACCAAATGGATGCTTCTTACTACTGTAAGCAAAAGCGTATATAAAATAATACAAATGGACAAAATATATACTGATAATATTGGTATCAAATGGATTTTTGTATTTTTAGTATTTCACAAGTAAGATTGACACATCTTTATGAACTTGGATGTGGGCTTTCAGATCTAAGGCTCCGTTGGAGCGTACCGTGTGGGCCCAACAGTGTGATCACTTTCCCGGGTGCCCCATGGCTAAAACCGTGGTACTGGTGGTCGTGGCCCGTTCTCCCCTTGGGCATTCAATGGCATAAAACCCGCCTTCAAACTCTTGGGTAAGTTCTTTTAATACGAGTGTGTGTTTGGTAAGCACCATAAGCTAACTTATTAGCTTAACTGATTAACTGATAAACTTTCTGTATACAATATACAGAAGTTTGGTTTGGTTGGACGAGTTTTTCAAAAAGCTCCAACTTATCTCATAAGGATTGAAATTCTTATTTCAACTGGTTTTATCAACTGAACACTTTTATCATAGCTAACTGTTCAACCATAAGTCATAAGCCATAAACTATGAGCTATAAGCTCGTAATTCACTTACAAACTATCATCTAAGTAGGTTTACCAAACATGCTTATATAATTCATCGGGTCGACTTTTTTACCCTCCTTTTAATTTTTATTTAACTTTTAGGTACAACGAGGAAATGCCTGTCGTCTGGATCCAAGCCATATTATACGTGGGCATAATAGCCGTGGCCCGTTTGGCGCGTCCCAACCTGTCCAAGCTCTGCTACCGTCGAGAAGACAAGAGTTTGTTCTTCGTGCAAACGGGCTTCAAGCTATTAGCCGTGTGGGCCCTACTGGCAGCTTACATCATCCCGTTTTACCTCATACCCCACACGGTCCACCCGATTGTCGGGTGGGGCCTTTACCTAATGGGGGCCTTTTCACTCTCGTGTGTAGCGGCCAACATTTTCTTGCTCCCGATGCTGCCCGTGATCGGGCCGGGCCTCGCGATATTGGGCTCCCTTCTTGTCATGGGCTATCCGGGCTACCCGAACGGGATAGTGAGGGCACTTTCGGTATTTGGGTACGCATTTTGCTGCTCGCCACTTGTGTGGGTGGCGTTGGGGAAGATTGTGTCTGCTCTGCAGGTGTCGGTCGAGCAGAGTAGTGTGGTGCCCTCCATGAACAAGTTGTGTTAGGGAGGAGAAGACAACAGGGGAAAACAATAAGATAGAAGGGTTAAATATTGTGGTTTTTTGAAGTAGGGGCTTTTTGAGCAAGTGACATGATTTTTAGTTGTAGACATGAAGAGAAGAAAGGTGATTCTTTATATGATGGAGAGGGTGTTTGGACAGAGGGTTTGATTTTGGACATGTGACTTTTGTTGTGACTATTTCTGGTGTAAAAAGTTCTGTAGATTAGATGGAAAATGTTCTCTTGTGTATATATGCTGTGGGTTTTCATTACTTTTCATGTTAACTTCATAAATTGTAATGTAATGGTACAATATAGAGAAATGTTAAGGTCCCGTTACGGTATTTTGTCTGGATTTTTAACCGTTAGATCATCATGTAACCATCAAAGATAGTTGATTTAACGATTATAAATCTCTACGGAACAGTTTCGTAATGGGATCGTAGCATTTTCTATAAGATATTACGTAGACATACTTTTCACAAATATGCATATTTATTAAAAAAAATATCATACTTTAAAAAATTTCCCGAAAGGGGACAATATAAAAGGCTTAGGTCGAAGCTTAGAAAAGGCAATATGGACAAAAAAAATTATGAAACTTAATAACATAAGTTGAAAAATTTTGTTTAAAAAGTATGACGAGATTTAAGGGTTAGGTTGCTTCATAAAAAAATTGTGAAATTGTAAAAGATTGCTATAGTGAAAGTTAATACACAAGTAAAAATTAAGAATATATTGGTCCTTGGATTTATTTTTTGCAATTTAAGAATTTGTAATTATCAAAAAGCCTTTACAAACCAACTGTTTTCAAACAAAATTACTTTTTTCAAGTTTCAACACAATTTTGGGGCATAATTATAATTTTTTTTAAAAAAAAACATAGTTAATGTGACTAAATTGTAAAAACAAGTTGGTTGATAAGTTGATAGCCAGAGTGTGACGAAGGCCCGAGGGCGTCTTTGGTGCGCATGAAGCAATGATCAAGGCTATTCAAGCCTTAACACAACGAGAATGGACTATCATAATCCGCCACATGCATAGAGAAGGAAATTTTGCGGCTGATCATTTGGCGAGGTTGGCTGCGTCCAACCTGATTGGGCTTCAACGAGTGACTGTCCCTCCCCCATATCTGGGAGATTGAATGGATCACGATATTAGGGGAGTGTCGTACTCCCGACGTACCAGTTTAAGAGCTTGTCTTCTTTTATTGTACCAAAAGAAAAAAAGAAGTCTACTATTTTAAGGGGATTAAAGTAAATAAATAAATAAATAAATCGAGATTTGTATTGTAAAAATTAAAAGAATGGAATTAAATTGAAAATAAAATAAATTTTGGGATTTATTTTTATAATCTATTATTATATAAAGAGACAACCTAAAAAATACTTAAATAGTAACTAAAAAATCATTTCAAATCCCGCCTAAAAATTAACTAAACACAGAAACATTTTTGAATTTTTTTCGCAATATAGTGCCACTTATTCAACCATTTGAAATTTTCAAAAATTTGAAATTGTATGTCAACATCCCAAATTCTCATTGCCCTTTCAAATGTTTAGAAATTTTCTAAACAAATCAATTTTAAGAAGTTTTTTTTAAATTTAAACAAATTCACTTTAACATCTCCAAGCATACATCTCCAAGCATATCAATATCATTTATTTATGGACACTCTCAAATATTATTGCAGCATAAATAAATTAACTTTTAACATTGAAACAAATTCACTTTTTATTATAAAAACTATATCAATTTAAATAGCCACGCTTCAGTTTAATTAAAATCATGATTTATTTACTATGAGTAACCTGATTTTTTTCCAATAAATCGATACATATATAAAGTTTGTTTGTACTCCGCATCATCGTTCATTTGGTTTGATTGTGCCGAATATTCTGTCAATAAATAAAAACAATATTAAGTTTGGTCTGACAATGTGCATCACAAATTGGAAAACAGTTCTATTTATTTATCTAATTTTGTAAGGATAAGTTGCATAACATGATAATACCAAATGAGATAAAATATTATTTTACACAATCAGATTACACAATCAATTGCTATTGATTATCGGAAACTATCAATTATAATTGGTATTCAAAATATTACAAAAGTACGAACCAATTTTGTTAAACTAATGGTGACAAACCTCGAATCGTATTTACAATTTTTCTAAATACGATTATAATATTTGATCGAATATAAATATATTCGACCAAAAATTTTATCGTTATTTACAATTTTTCAAAATTTTAATCGTATTTACATTTTTATAAATTCTTATATATAAAGTATAGTTAGTTTATTATATGACTTAAAATATAAAATGTACCGTTATTTACAAAAATTTTACGATATAAATAAAATTTGTGTTGTTGGTTGTTATATTCGTAAAAAATTTAATCGTATTTTTTAATTTTTTTTTTTAAATTTTAATCGTATTTACAATTTTTTGAAACTTTTATCGTATTTACAATTTTTATAAATTCCTTTATAAGTTATAGTGAATTTACTATATGACTTAAAATATAATTTTTACCATTTTTTATATTCAAAATAAAAATCAAGAGTGCGAAGCTGAAGTAAAAGAGCTCTATTATTGTTAAACGTGAGCTTCAAGAGATAGAGGACGGTGACATTGTTGTGAGTTCCGTTGATTCTTTCTATGAAACCAATGAGGTAGTTATATTATTCGTTATTTTCTAATTTATAAAACGACTGATGCCAAATTTGTCCTTTCAAAATAATATCGAAAATATATGTTAACTAATTATTTGTTTTTTGCTTTTCAACGTGACAAATACATGAGTTTGCGCTACAATAGACTCAGTAATTGATGATTGGGCGTATCTTGCATGCAAAAAGTGCAACAACAAGATGGAGAATGGAGAAGGCCAATTTAAGTGCAACAAGTGTACCCATACACAAGGCTATACTTGCGCCGACACTTAGAGATAGTAGAATCTATCAATGTGTATTTGATTGAATGTCATACTTATTTAAGCTCTGACAGTATGTATAAATCCGAGTCCAATGCCAACTTTCCAGCGGAACTCCATACGCCTGAGTTCTTGAATAGTATCAAGTGTTCTGAAATTCCGATCATGAGTTGCATCTGAAGGTAGGAACTCCGGCAATGTTATTGCGAAACGTGGATCATTCAATGGGACACGCTTGGTTGTGATGAAGCTCTTCTATCATGTTCTTGAGTATAAAATTCTTACTGGCGACCATGCAGGTGATAAGGTGTTGATACCTCAGATGACAATAACTCCTTCTGATGTTAAGTGCCATTTAAGTTCCAACGAAGATAGTTTTCCAATATGGTTTCCTACGCAATGACCATAAGCAAAAGCCAAGGTCAATTTTTATCGTATGTTGACTTATTCTTGAAGAAACCTTTTTTTAGTCATGAATAGTTATATGTTGTTGTCTCCCGTGTTACTAACAGAAACAATTTGAAAAAATTAATTTGTGGATAAGAAGGATTCAGAGAAAATTAAACCAATAATGTGGTGTATAAGGAAGTACTTAATAATATAGGAGTTTTTTTTACATATTATTTATCTTATTGACTTAACTCATTGATTAATTTTTGGAAAAAAAAAAATTAGAAAACAAAGTTTTAAAAAAGTTTGAAGAATAAGTCCCACCGTGCAAGGCACGGGATCTATACTAGTTTAGCCGGGTAAATTGCACCAAACCCCCCTGTAATATACTAAATCTGCGCGTTTTCCCCCTGTATTTTAAAAATTGCGCCATACCCCCTTGTAATATACTTTTGCATGCACACTC